ATAGAGAGAGAGAGAGAGAGAGAGAGAGAGAGAGAGAGAAAGAGAGAGAGAGAGAGAGAGAGACTATCAACTCATGCCTGTACCCAATACCCTTAGCAGTACTAGAGAGGGAACCTAGGTTCTTGTGCTCCCATATCAGCCCTTACAGAATTGTTCTTATGACACATCACTCTCTCATGTAGTATTCAGTAAACCTGAGTGGTTGGCTGGTGGTTCTACACAAGGAGGCCAAAGCCCTAGTGTGTCGTTTAAGACCCTTCAGAGTCTTGTGCAGTGCCCTCACACAACTATCTGTCTACCCTGTCCCAGGTCCTTTGTTTCCATGCAGCAAAGCATTAATTCTCTTGCCTTTCTCCAAGGTCACCTTTGTTTACACATTCTCTCACCCAGGTTGTCTTTTTCTTTGCTTTCCCTCTAAAATTTTGTCCTGCCTCCCTGCCAAGCCTTCCAAGGCTATAGCCTCACTGATCTTTTCTGAACTTTGTGTCCAGACCATTTGTTCATCATTTTAGCAGTGAAAGTGCATTATACTTTTTTGTACATTTACATACATGTTTGTGTTGTCTCAAAGAATTTTCCTGAGGGATTTTCCAGCTTCATAGAGGACAGAGTCTGGGTTGGCAGTGTAGCTTGAGGGTAGAGCACATGTCTAGCATGCGTAAGGCCAGAACCTTAAAAGAAAATGCAGAAGTTTAAAGGGCCTATGGATCACTGTTATAGTAGATTTGTATATGTTACTTTACTTTACAATTTCTCTTATACTAGAAACCAGCTATTATCTCCAACAAAAGATCAGTAAATAAACTCATGAAGTTTGGATCTTGGTCATGAAAAGTAATCATTTATTTAGCAAGTGAGTATGAACCAGGGAAGCCTTAAGCAGGACCATCGCAGGTGTTCAGACAGGAAGGGGCAACTGTCACATTGACAGCCTAAGGCCTTGTTGTGCGAGGCTTGGAATATAAACCTCAAGTAGCAGTTTTACAGTGAAGACAGTTATTTTGTTTTGGATGTTAACTGTTTTAGGAAATGTAGAACTTTCCTTTTTTAGGAAAAGGGCTAATCGTGCTTTCTGACTTTTATGAGAAATAAAAAAATAACAATTCTGGTAGTAAAAACGTTATGTTTCCTAGCCAATGTAATAAGTGTTAGTATATTACTAAGTAAGTTTACATGTTTGTCGTAGGGTATATGTTGGAACCAGATCCTGACAAAAGGCCAGATATTTACCAGGTCTCCTACTTCTCATTTAAACTACTCAAGAAAGAATGCCCAGTTCCAAATGTACAGGTATGTGTATGATGCTTCAAGGGGAATTAAACATTTTGGAGTTGTCATTTTGAGCTCCTGGGGCATCTGCTTAAATGAATGTAGATATTGCTTGGTTTATCTACTATTCAAGCAAAACTAACTGAAACAGCTGCTATAACGAGAATCCAATTTTCCAACAGAATATAATTATAAAACTGAGGCAGTTTACTGAACAAAAAATGTGCTAGAGATTGAGCTGAAATCTTTGAGTGAAGAGTGGACAATTTCATGTCTTGTCTAGGCCACGGCCTGTTGCCATCCCTAGAGCTGATCAGACACTCAGCCTTCCAGAGGCAAGGCCTCGAGTTGCCCCCAGACCCACTGCAGAGACAGCCTCTCCTAGCAGTTCTTGCTGCAGTGCCTCTATTAGCCATCTGTAATCCACACTCATCTTTCTCTCCCTCCCCGCATTAAACCATGAGCACATTTTCTACACTCACCTAAACCTGACACTCAGTTTTCAGAGTAAAATGCTTTGCAAACACGTTTATAATCTTGACATATTTTTATGTCATGTTGTGACCCAGTTCTCTTAAATATTTTACTAGTGAATGTTCTAATAAATAGATTCTAATCTGAAAATTTCTTGATAGTTTTTCTGATGATGAACTTTTGAAATAACCTTCTTTCACTGCCACATTTGGTACTCATTCAGAAGGCCAGGCAGGTGGAGGAGAAGTGAGTTTTCCAGCAAAAGTTAGTCTCTCCTAGGAATATAAGGAAGCAGGAGGACCCTCCTAAAAGCCAGCATGATAGTATTCTGTTCACCAAGTGACCCAAGCTGAATCAAAGACTACAGTACAGTATCTTCATGTGACTACTTTTACCTTTTCAGTCTTATTTTCCCATTCACAGAGTAAATAACATGAAATATAATTGAAAGCATTCAGACTGGTAACAAGTTTTTTAAAAGTAACTATTACAAGTCCCACATTGTCTTAGTCACTTTCTGCATTGCTGTGACACAGTGCCAAGCACCCATAGCATGCAGGAGGAGCTCCCTCTTGCTCATTTCTCTGCTGGTTCCAAGGCAGAAGGTGTGCAGGGGACAGGCCTGGGCAGAGAGTAAAGCTGCTTATGTCATGGTGACCTGGACGCAGAGAGAAAAGAGAGGAGCTGGGAAGGAGATACACATTTCCAGGTCGCACTCTTATGACCTGCTTCTAACCAGACCCCACTCCCTGGCAGCAAGCCAGCGTAGCTCCTTGATTCAGTCACCTTCTAGAAGCTCTGCCCATAAGCCTTTGGGGGATATTCTTGATCCAAACCATAGCACATGTCATTTGGTGCTCATCTAGTTGATGCTCCGTCAAGAAGCAGCATTGGGCTGGGTTCAGTGATCCCTGCCTGTCTTCCCAGCTAGATGTGAGGCTGAGATAGGATCATAAGCTCAAGGTCAGCCAGGGCAATTTAGTGAGACCTTGTCTCAAAATAAAAATAAAAAAGGCTGAGGATGTAGTTCAGTGGTAGAGTACTTGCTTAGCACAACAAAAACCAAGAAACAGTATGGGCGGTGCAGAATATAATCTGGAGGAGCACTCTTTGGCTTGTGTATGTAATTGAGACAGGATGCTGCCTTAGTAGTCACAGCAGAGGGAGCTCTGGTGTCCTCCCAGCATTGTGCCTGGAAGATGAGTGAACCTTGGTGGGCATTCAAGACAGCTCTGACTTCTCTGAGATGTACCTGGGAAGTTGAAAATGCAATCTCCCTTTCCCATTCTTTTTATAACATCACTTCTAAGCTGGGTAGTAGGAAGAGAATGGACCAAGATCAAGCCCTGGTGAGCCTGGTAAAGAAGGGGGAGAGTGATGGAAAGAGTGGACTGCATTCAGACTGTTCTCTCATCTTGTCAGCCCCTTTGAGTCTTCCATGTACTTGGTTAACTTCCCTTCCCTCTAACGGGGGTCAGGGATGGAAGTCGCACTGAAAGATTCCACAGTGTAATATATTTTTGTTAGTCCTGTCAGACTGGTTATTCTTTTATGAAAAGATCTGCGATATCCTTTCCTTTTTTTTTTTTTTTTTTTTTCTTTCAATTCTTTAGAACTCTCCCATTCCTGCAAAGCTTCCTGAACCAGTGAAAGCCAGTGAGGCAGCTGCAAAAAAGACCCAGCCAAAGGCCAGGTAAGAAATGTCTTCGTGAGCACACATCCTGCTGGAGGAACAGCAGCATCAGGGTAGGATGCCTTGCATCTCTTGATTCTTAGCTGATGTGACCAGAGGTTGCCTAGATTGAGAAAGGAAACCCTGTCTCCCTTCAGCAGAAACTATTCTTTGGGAATGCCAAGGAGAATATAAAGTACTGTGATCTACATTTAAAACAGAATCTAGAGTGCTGCAGCTGTTTTCTTGCATGGGAGTAACACAGGGGCATTGAGAGAAGAAGCCAGGTAGACTTTAACTGTTGCCAGTACGAGTTTCCCAGCATATGTCCCAGCTTGTGCTTAGCTATGTTCACTACTATAATGTCCCCCTTCTTCTCCTTCTTTCCTCTGTGACTCCAGCCAGATCATACAGAACGAAGCACCAAGCTTCTGAACAGCAAAAGGCCTTGTGGGGTTTCACTCATCACATTTTATACCACCTAGACTCTTCTAAGAAGCAGGTGCAAAGAAATGACTATGCAAAGATGTGAACTGGGGAAATGCACAAGTGAGAGAGAGAATGGGAAGAGAGGCGAGGAAGGCTGGGAGACCCACAGAAGCTCCAGTGTGACCCAGAGAGAGGAAGGAGAGTGATGGTTGGATCCATCACCATATGTGTTAGGGGGTCCTTACTCCCAAGCCCCCCATCAGAGGAGGCCCCTTCCTTTGAGGAGACCCTGCATCTGGAATATGAGGGCTGGGAGAAGCGTGTAGGAAACATGGCTTCAGGGCAACTCTGTGTTGAATTTTTCTAGCACAGCAGCCTGTCTTTCACATGCACTGTGCTGCGGATCTGTCAGGCACATCCTCATAGCTGCCATATTTTGCAAGTGGCAAATTCTGAGACGGGCAGATATCGTGGATCCAGCATGGCAAGTGGAAGCAGTAAGTTGTGAGAAAAATAAATACCTTTCGTACACTGCTGTTACATGACTTTTTATAACAGCCAAACCTAAGCTAAACTAATGCAAGGAGGACTGCTGTGTCATCTCCTTGCTCCACCATCCATGAGGTGGTAGCACAGGAGATATGTAAGTTCTTCCTTTTCCTTCTGTCAACAAAGAATTCTAGATCATTTGCAACTATGTGAATTTCAATAGAACAGTAAAATAATTTTTCATTTTAAAAGTTCTTCAATATAGAATACCTGCTATCTCATAGTTATTTCAGCTGTGCTTTTAAAGAAATGTGACTTTTTTTTAGCAAACCTAGCACACTTGCTTATCAGACAAGCGAAATGTGTTGCTTGTAGTCTGTTGATTTCTTACAATAAGATTCCCATGCTCATCTCTTTGGAAATCATTTGGGGTTTATTTTAAATAGCTTAGCCTTTTGAATTTAGAGCCTTCCATATGAGGCCTAAATGTATTATGTATATAGAAGCTAAGCAAGGATCGCTTTTTCTGTTCCCACAAAGCATATTCATTGAGGTCCTTATAAACTCTCAGTAGAATATGCCATTGTTTATAAAATGATTTTGTAGTTATCAATGCATAGACACATTTACACATTTTACACATAAGGGAGCAAGACTGAAAGACATGACATGGCCTTTATCACACTGTTAGTAGAAAGCCAGAGCTCATAGATAGTTTCTTGAACTATATCTTATGTTACCTTCAGGAGAAGACCAGCGTGGAAGATTTCACATTTAAATTTGCACAGGAGGAGCTGGGGACATAGCTCAGTGGCATAAGTGTCTGCCTGGCAAACACAAGGTCCTGAGTTTGATCCCTGGTACTGCAAAATAAATTAATGAATTAATTAATTAATTTTCACAGGAGTCTGTTCACTTCCCTCATCTCTGCATCTTTTTATACCTTTCTTGTGTTTTTCAACATCTATTCCATTTCTCCTCCCACCTCCCTTCCCCGGATTGCAGCCTCCCTAGACGTGGTAGCTTTTCTATCTTGTTTTCTGTGCAGCACAAGAGCTTCTGTCTTAACAGGATGCCAGTGAGACGTTTCTGTATCAAAGAGGAGCATACCATGGAGTTATGGAAGTTAGGGAAGTACCTGGGCACAGCTCCTTTGCTTCCTGTATTTCATTTCATGGATCCTGTTTCAGACATATTTTGGAAATACTCATGAAACTTGTTTATCTTGGCCTTTATCTCAGTTGTACTCTGTAAAATGAATTTCAAAAAACAGTTGACTCCAATCTGAGTGAGGTAGTGTAGCGAGCTGCCTGCAATACTATAAGTAACATCCAGACTTCAGCACCATCATGAGAAGCAAGGAGACGACACAGCAATCCTCCCTGCATTAGTTTACATTAGGTTTGGCTGTTATAAATAGTCGTGTAGCAGTGGTGTGTGAAAGGTATTTATTTTTTCTCTCAACTTGTGGCTTCTAGTTGTCATATTGGATCTACTCATTTGCCTGCTGTTCATTGTAGAGACCATTTTGACAGCTACTAGTTCAAACCATGTTTGAATTCCTTCTCTGTCTGAAGAGCACCTGCCTCCAACCTGTCTTTGGTTGTCACCCCGCATGTATTTTCAGAAACCCTAGGAAAGGGCTGGTGAGATGGCTCAGTGGTCTAAAGCACCTACTTAGAACAAGCTTAGCAGAGCACAGGGACCACGGTTCAATCCCCCAGCACCACATGCCAGCCAGCCCTGCCCCCTGGTGGGCTGAGCTGGCCACACACACACACACACACACACACACACACACACACACAAATAAAATAAAAAAAATAAAAAAAAGAAACCCTAGGAAGTATTGGGTGAAAGGGTCCTGATTCAGTCATTTCCTTTTCACTGGCGCACAGTGTCTACAGTTTAAAGGAAGAGAGGTTTACTTTGGTCTCACAGCTCAGAACTTTTAGTCCTTGTTTGGCAGGCTCAAACACAGGGACAAGATGGCAGAGAAGCCTGGGCTCAGCAAAGCTGCTTCAGTCATGGCAGCTGGGGGGCTGAGAGTGAAGGGGAGAGCCAGAGAAGGGGGCACACTCTCCAAGTCAAGCCCCCAGTGCCACACTGCTAACCAGGCCCTGTCCCCTACCAGCAAGTCAGCTGTAGCAGCCCCCAAATTCAGTCCCTTTCCAAAAGCTCTGCTTACGAGTCCATGATGCTGGCCTGGGGGCATCTAGATACAAACCGTAACAGGTCCAAAGAGCAAAGAAGCTTAGGAAACATTGCATTCTTTATTCTCCTTGAGATTGATCCTATACCTTCGTGTATAAAAAGTTCTGTCTGAAAGAAATCTGTTTTGTTTATTTTGGCCAGTGTATTAAAAATTTATTTCTCCACCAAGTGGGGTTTTTTTGTTTGTTTTGTTTTTGTTTTTTCTCAATACGTGTAGTAAGACCATACTATTCTGTGGTCATCTTTTAGAAAGAATTGATGAAGCAGATTTGGAAGGTTTGCCCCCTCCTCTCTTGTTTTCCCACATTTTAGCTTGAATGAACTTTTTTTCCTTTTTGTTTTCTAGACTGACAGATCCCATTCCTACCACAGAGACTTCAATTGCACCCCGCCAGCGGCCTAAAGCTGGGCAGACTCAGCCAAACCCAGGAATCCTTCCCATTCAGCCAGCCCTCACGCCTCGAAAGAGGGCCACGGTTCAGCCTCTACCTCAGGCTGCAGGTGAGTAACCAGACTGGTTTGCAGCTTGGTACTTCTCTGTTGTGGCCTGTTGGAAAACCTAGCTTTGCTTTAGAAATGGAAGCCGCAAACCCATAAAGAATTGAGGTGAGCTGCTTCTGAAATATATGGCAAGTGGCTGCAAAGGGGAGACCTCTCGTTGTATTTGCAGGTGGAATCTCAAAGAACACTGGAGTTTGTTGTCTCCATTTTTTCTCTTTATGGTCCTAATTTGTAGTTGGGTCTCTTCATCCTGTACTACTTCTTTGTTTCATATGTTTTTCATTGTTTGCAGTAAAACTTGGCTCACTTCTTTTTGACACTCACAGAGAAACATTGTTTCTGTTTTTATGTAGTTGGTACAGGGTCTCACTACACAGCTTGGACTCACAGTGATCCTCCTGTTTGCAGCCTCCCCAGGGCTGGGATTATAGGCGTGCACCACCATGCCGTCTTGGCGGCTGGCTCAGCACGCACAGGGCCAGGGCTGGTGTAGCATGTGATGCTGGGGATGGAACCCTAGTCCCTGTGCTTGCCTAGGCAGGTGCTTAGTCCACTGAGTTCTCTCTCCAGCCCTTGGAAGATTTGTTTCTTTAGTGCTTTGTGTCTTAAAGTATCTCGTCCATCTTTTTGTGTTGTTTCTAATGAGATGAGTGAGTTGTGTGTTTCCTAAGGTGGACTGACTCAGAGTGTCGGGTAACCAAACACCACCCTCACTCTCCCTACCAGGCAGCTGCTTTTGGTGCATTTGGTGATCATCTCTTCACAGCCGGGCATCCAGGTGGGGGTTATGTAAGCTACACATAAACATCAGAGAACACTTTCGTTGTGCACTGTACAATCTGGTGTAGAGATTGCGCTTACGGATGGTAGCAGCAGTTGCCAGTTGCCTTTGTAGATGAGGGAAGCAGGAGGCAAGTATTGAATCTTGTTATTGAACCCTGTTTTGAAACAATCGAAGTACATAGCATTTAACAAGAAGAGGAAAAGACTTTCCAGGTGGAACAGAGCATGTGGAAAGACAGGGAGGAGCCCATGGCCCTTGGGATGTGCTGCTTATCACCGCCTCTTTATGGCTTTGGCAATTCAGAAAGCAGTTTGTGTCTGGAGAAGTGTGGAACCCTGATACAGAGTTTATTCTCATTGCAGGACCCAGCAATCAGCCTGGCCTCTTGGCCAGCGTTCCCCAACCAAAAGCCCAACCCCCGCCCAGCCAGCCTCTGGCCCAATCTCAGCCCAAGCAGCCTCAGGCCCCATCCATCCCGCAGCCCACACCTTCCACCCAGGCCCAGGCCACACCTCAGCACCAGCAGCAGCAGCTCTTCCTCAAGCAACAGCAGCAGCCGCCACCGCAGCAGCAAGCACAGCACCAGCCACAGCCGCCACAGCCGCAGCCACCGCAGCCAGCAGGCACATTTTACCAGCAGCAGCCGCAGCAGCAGGCGGCGCAGACTCAGCAGGTAAGGTGGTCCGAGTGTGCTCCACACCCTGAGAAGCTGGGGGTGACAGTCAAAAGGCCCACTAGGTACAGATGGCTTCCTTGGGAAGCTCTGGAACAGAGAGCAATTAACTGTTACATCATTTTTGGACTGTCTTTTAAGTCTTCATTTACTCAAAGTTCTCTTCCCTTCATTTCCTCCCTTTTCCATTTATGTTCTATAAAGACTGGGTTATTTGTTCTGAGGCATTTTTGACATTCTGGGTTTGGCCTGGTTGTCTTGTGGTGCTATTTACTAAGATGTCCCTGTATCCTCTCTGTAAATTGTTAATTTCTTGAAGGCTGCTCAGTGTTCAGTTCTGTGTTTTTTATCTGTTACAGTGGGAGACCAGTGCTTGTCCTGTTTTTTATTGACATCAAGACCAGTGTGTTTAAGTGTTGTCTGTCTCATCTGTTTTTTCAGCATTCCTTATTAGCTTAACATCCATTGCTGATTATTTCCTAAGTATCAATTTACCAGGGATAGTAAAATGTTATTCTATCTTTCCCTTTTTATTTCGCAGCTGGAGTTTTCCTACGAAGACCTTTTTTCATCAGCTCTTTAGTTGTCCTGTGGTAGTTTGTACAGAAAAGGCAAAAGAAGTGCTTGCTCCATTCCCTTTGTTTCTAACTTTTCATAATGGGTTTTTTCACTGCACAATCCAACAGTGACAGTGAGGTTTTTATTTTGTGTTAGCATAAGTTTATGGATTTTAATGTATTCCATATCTTTCAATAGATTGCAGGGTTTTTATATTAATTTTATTGAGAAAGAAGTAGCAATGAGACAGTTTCAAAACAGATTTGTAGGACAGTTACAATAATTAATACATTGCATATTGTTGTCTTAATGTAGTTATTTATAGTACAAGATGCAAAGGGCCCGAGTTCAATCCCTGGTTCCGCAAAAAAAAGATGCACACATGAAGATTGCAGTTTTTAAAAATGTATTTGGGGCTGGGGCGATGGCTCAGTGGCTAAGTGCTTCCCTGGCAAGCACAAGGGCCTGAGTTCAATCCCCAGTTCTACCAAAAAAAAAAAAAAGTATTGATTTTGATATTCAAATTGGCCTAACTTTGGCCAGGGAAAGGCCCTTCAGATTGTCTTCTGGTGGCTGGGGATATAGCTCAGTGGCACAGCATCTGCCTGACATAGCAGAAGGCCCTGAGTTTTATTTTTGGTACCAAGAAACTCCAGCAACTTGTTTTCTGGGTCATTTGGATGCAATTCCAGGAGTCTCTAATGATTCCCTCTAATGATTCCATCACTGCTTGTTCTGGTGTCATTGAGACTCACCCTGAAAGCATCCATTTCTCTAAGGAGCGGTTTTCGATAGAACTATTTAGAAACCATCATTTGGTGCTAGTAGGGGGCCAGGGAGATAGCTCAGTTGAATAAGTGCTTGCCTGGCAAGTGCAAGGGCCTGAGTTCAATCCCCAGCTCCACAAAAAGAAGAAAAAAAAAAAAAAAGAAAAAGAAAAAATCCTCCATTTGGTGCTAGAGATACTCACTTTTATCTAGTCCACTTTAGTGGACAGTTGGGAAATCTGTTTTGTTAGACAGTACACATGAATTCTATTATATTTCTAAGGATTTATAATTATAGGATTTCTGTTTAGCTTCTGGAACTTTGTTGTGTTTTTGTTTCTTTGGTACTAGGAGTCAAACTCACAACCTCATGTTTGCCAGGCAGGTGCTGTGCCACTGAGCTAAATCCCCAGTCCTGTTGTCTTTCTTACCTGAGACTCTTGATACCTAACAGCATTAATTAATTAGTTGTTAGTTTCAGGATAATCATACCAATATGATCACTAAAAAACAAATTTAGGACTTATTTTCCCTTTAGAATGTTTAGCATATTATTTCCTGGGGAGTTTAGCTATGAGTTTTTTCCACAGGTTTGTTTTTTTTATTTTTATTTTTTAATGTAATTGCTACATAGTCTCACTATGCAGCTCAGACTGGTAGTATCCTCTTATTTTCAGCCTGTCTAGCACTAGAATTACAGACATGCACCACCACACTTGGTAGCCAGACTTGGTGGCCAGCTCAGCGTGCCTGGGAATGGGGCCAACATAGCCTGTGATGCTGGGGATCGAACCCAGGTCCCTGGGCTTGCCTAAGCAGGCACTCAGTCCACTGAGCTATCTCGCTGGCCCTTATTTGCTTCATTTTGTTTTTGGTTTTTAGTTATTGTTTTCAAAATTTTGGTTTAGGGCTGGGGAGATAGCTCAGTGGCATAAGCACCTGCCTGGCAAGTGCAAGGTCCTGAGTTCAATCCCCAGTGCCAAAAAAATAAAAATAAAATAAAATTTTGGTTTAATTTTGTTTTTAAAATGTGTACATCGAGAAACGCCAGAGTGGGAACCTCTTCAGTGTTGCCCAGATCAGGCACTAACAATGGACACTCAACAGGACGTTCAACCCCCAAAGCAGCAGCCAATGATATATATCTGTGAAGAATGTCACACAGAAAATGAAATTAAATCCAGGGATCCAATCAGATGTAGAGAATGTGGATACAGAATAATGTACAAGAAAAGAACTAAAAGATTGGTGGTTTTTGATGCTCGGTAAAACATGGGAATTCAGAAAAGTGTCTTTGTTGGTACCTGGATTTGCACCTTCAGGAGTCTCGTATAGCTTTGGATTCAACACACTTAGGAATACAACTATATATATGATTTCATTTTCAAAACCAGATTGTATTTAGGTATCTAAATATACTTTGTATAAAGAATTTTATTGTTCAGTTATATGCCTTGTAATTTAATTTTATCATGTATATAATGTAACAACAATAAAGGTTAAAATTGTTTTCCCAAACTATACTTTTAATAAAATTTATTAAAAATTATATTCCTGAAGCTCTCCAAAGATCTAATTAAATATGTTCCTTAGAAAGTACCAAGTATAAGGGGCCGGGGAGATGGCTCAGTAGAGTAAGCGCTTCCCTGGCAAGCGCAAGTGTCTGAGTTCAATCCCCGGTTCTGAAAAAAAATAAAAAAAAATAAAATAAAATAAAAAAAGAAAGTACCAAGTATAAAAAGTAAAGCCATATTGTTATGTTGAGCTGTAGGGGACTCAGGTCAACAACTTCTGACATTGCCAGTCAAGTGGAAGACCCAATACTATTATGGACTACTGGACTATTTTGGAATGTTTTGCTGAGTTCATGCACCTATAATATTTAAATGACGGAACTAAAAAAAAGGGGATACAGATGAATGACCATTTTGTATCTGTGTATTCAAAATGGTTAGGATAGATATACAGCTATATTCTCTTAATTCAGTGAATAGAGGGATTTGTTCTAATAGTGTTTGTAAGTAGGACATTATGTCTGCATCTTGTACAACAAATAACCACTAGGAAGACAGTATGCAATGTGTTAATTATTGAAACTGTCCTAATTTAATTTCAAACTGTCTCATTGCTATGTTTCTCAATAAAATTATGGGGGGAAAATGTGTATATCATATATGGTTTAAGAGTTAAATGTACAAAATCCCCTTTAACCCTTAAGTAGAGGTAGCCCTCATTCCTGTTTACAACTTGAGAGTATCCATTTGATGCCTTTCAGGATTTCTCGTAGTTCATTCAGTTGCCTCAACATTTGAGTCGTTTCTAGCATTCTGCTATTGTAAGTAAGCAGGTATTTTGACTTTTGCTTTTTTTGTTAGCCCTTCAACTTTGCCCGAGAAGATAAACAGTATCCTCTCAACTCTATAATGAAGTGACAGAATTTAGAGTGTTCCAAAGCAAGATCGTATCTTTTATTCACCTTATTTAGAACAGGCCCATGTTTTGAGTGCTGCTTGTGTGCATGTGGCACATAGTTCCTAGAAGAGGGGATAAGAGAAACATGAGATGTGCCAGAAGATGGCACAGTGTGCATCCATAGCCCTAGGGACCTTGGAGGCTGAGGCGGGTGGTTACTTGATTCCAGGAGCTCAGAACCAGGCTGGGCAGCCTAGCAAGACCCTCTCAAAAAATAGTAAATAAATGAAATAAAGCAGACCATGTATGGAGGCTGAGGCAGAAGAATTGTTTAAGCCCACAAATTCAAAATGAGCTTTGGCAATGCTGGGAAGACCCTCCCCACCAATTTTAAAGACGAAGATTTGTGGGAAGAGGGAGGGAGACACAGTATCATTGAGAATACTAAATATGTTGAATGTATGGTTGGGTTTCATAAAGATAGAGCTGTTGGACAATAATTTTGAGGAAGACTCTTCAGTGTCCTCATTGCTGCATGTGCTCAGGCAGGGAATCATTTTTATCTTGGCTACTTAATGACTCTTTATTGGAAGAATTCCTTCTGTCTTTGGTTAATCACTTACTTGCATCTGTTGTCATAGAGTCACATGTTCATTGGGGAGCTTTAGGGCGAGGTCTGGAAGCCTACTTCGGAGGCCAGGCGAGTGTGGTAGAAAAGGCCTCACTGTGTAAGGTGCTGCTGGATTTATTTTAAGTCCCGGAAGTTCCTGTCAAGAATTTTTAGGCCCGGCAAAAAGACCACTGCCTACCCTTGCCTTTGCCTTCAGTGCTGGTCTCCCTCATTATTGAGACATTCAATAATGTCATTTATGAATGTGGTTCTGCGGCAGGTTCTTGCTCTCCTTATGTCTTGCCGCCCTCTCCTGCTCAGTTTCAGGCAGTACATCCACCAAGCCAGCAAGCAGCGATTGCTCAGTTCCCTGTGGTGTCCCAGGCAGGCTCTCAGCAGCAGCTGATACAGAACTTCTACCAGCAGCAGCAGCAGCAGCAACAGCAACAGCAGCAGCAGCAGCAGCAGCAGCAGCAGCAGCAGCAGCAGCAGCAGCAGCAGCAGCAGCAGCAGCAGCAGCAGCAGCTGGCCACACCCCTGCACCAACAGCAGCTGATGACTCAGCAGGCTGCTCTGCAGCCCAAGACTGCAGTGGTGGTGCCGCAGTCCCAGGCACAGCCGGCTGCAGCTCCGCAGCCAGCCCCTGCCCAGGAATCTGCGGTAAGAAGTAGCCAGGGCCCAGCACAGAGCCAGAAGAGGGTTGTGTAGTGAGGGCCAGGGGAATGAGCAGCTGTGAGGGGCCCTCTGACTCAAGTGAAGTTGCCTCCTCATCTTACCGCTTAAAATATTGGATCTTTCCTTACTACATCCAAGAACAGTGTGAGGTATTCCATACAGAAAGTAGTTTTCAAGAAAATGATTGTGGGACATCTTGTTTATCACTGGAAAAAGCTGTTCATGTCTCTGTCAGTGCCACTGTGGAACACTCAAGGATCTAGGATTAGAACTAATCTTGTTCACTTCTTCAAGGGCCTCTATGATCCATTATGCCCTTCTTAGTCTCTAGAGATTTACCTAGGCTCCTGCCTTTATGCTGAGTCCTTGCACTGGTGTGTTTATTCTTTGTGTCAAATGGCCTTACTAGGCACATCAGCTGAGTCTAGCGTGCAGCACCTTCAAGGGTCTGCTTGCCTGATAACATTTACCATGGCACGGTGAGTATCTGCAAGTCCATCCACTGGAGGAGCCTGTCAGTTTAGAAGTCAGGTGTATTCACTTCTGGAGAATGGCTGACTATAGCATCAGAACCCCCTCCTGATTGATCTCTAGGTTTTAGCATACTCAGGCATTCTTGCTTTGGCCTTTAATAAGGGACCTTTATGCTAGACTCATAGTTTTCTGAGTGATCACACTAGAAAATTCTATACTAATAAAGACAATGTTCATATCTAGCAATACAGCATCATAGCTACTCTCTTATTCCTAGGGAAGTCCAACTACTAGATGAATGAAGGAAAGGTGAGACACCATCTTTCTGAGGATTGATTTCTAATAAAGTTGTATCTCCATCTTAAACCAGAAAACCTCCTCCATCTCTTCAAAAGGAAGCAATACCAGAAATAGGGTATCTTTTTAAAATCTCAGCTAAGTGTGTGTCCAGTGTCTTTTTATACCTTTCTTCCTGAAACAGTAATCTTCCAGCAGTTGTGCGGTAGAGAATTACTCTTTTTTTTTTTTTGCAGAACCGGGGATTGAACTCAGGCCCTTGTGCTTGCCAGGCAAGCACTTATTCTACTGAGCTATCTCCCAGGCCCCTACTCTATTTTTTTTTCTAAATTTTATTGATAAACAGCAATGAGACAGTTTCAAATCAAATTGGAAGTACAGATTCAACAAATAACACACTGCATATATTCTTCTTAGTGGTTAATTGCTGTACAAGATGCGGACTTGAGACCCTATTTACAAACACCATTAGAACAAATCATTCTATTCATTAAGAGAATGCAACTATATATCTATCCTAACCACTTTGAATACACAGATACAAAATGGACATTCATCGGTATACCCCATTTTTTCTAAGTTCCGTTATTGAATATTATAGGTGTGTAAACTCAGCAAAATGTTCTAAAAGAGTCCAGTAGCCCATAATAGCATTGGGTCTTCTGTTTAACTGGCAATGTCAGAAATTATTGACCCGAGTCCCCCACAGCTCAACTTAACAGCATGGCTTTACTTCCTATATTTCGTCTTCATACTTTTCTACTGGATGGTTAAGACCAAGGTAAAGCAGGACCTGTGCAGCAAGAGTTGTAGTACTCTATATTTTTAATAAAAGAATATTCTCCTGGTTAGTGGATAAAGTTTTTCTAAAAAATTATTACGTAAAGTAGCTAGCTAGAAGAGCTCTTTTATTTTTTTATTTTTTAGGGAGGGGTACCTGAGCAATTAAGGTGAGGCTTAAACCCAATACCACTGTCTCCAAGCCATTCTTAATTTTTTTAATTTTAAGACAAGGTCTTGCTAATTTACCTAAGCTGAGCTCAATTTTATGGTCTTCCTGTCTCATCTTCCCAGAGTGCTGAGATTACAAGCATGCACCACCTTGCCTAGTTTAGAATTGATCTTATTTATCCAGTTTTGTCTCTCGATTTTATGGAATTGGAAATGGAGGCCTAGACTAGAAATTGACTGCTCAAGACATACAGAATAACAGTAACAAAGCCAGCATAAGCACCAAAGAATCCTGACCTGTGTTTAAAGATATTTATCCAGGTGTTCACTTTGGCAGCACGTACATACACTAAAATCAGACCAATACAGAGATTAGCATGACCCAGACACAAGGATGACACACAAGCTCATGACACTTTCCATGTTTTTTCAATAAAGAGCTTTCCTGTGGCCCTTGGCCATGTCTTCCCCTACCCCACCTGCCCACGAGAAAAGATACTTGGCCAGGGTGATGAGTTGGCCAACTGATACTGACTACACTTTCTGTGAAGCTCCCCTCGCTTTCCCCAGATGAAGTGTCCACTTTCTTAGAAATGAAGCATAAATCTCTATGTTTCCTGGACAAAAAGCACTTTGAGAGATGTGCTCAGGGGTAGTTGCTTTGGACAATAAGGGATACAGAATACAGGAACAGACTGTGCTTCAGCCATGAACCGTAGAACTATACAGCTTTGCTGTCCCTGTGTCACTAATTCGTGAGGGCCTGGGGATTTAACTCACTGGTAGAGTACCTGCCTAGCATGCGTGAGGCATTGGGTTCCATTTTCAGTAAAGCAAAAAAGGAAAACAAACCAGAGAAGCAAGCAAATGAATTTGAAGAACACCCTGTGGCGTCTTGAAGCAATAATTGGCAAAGGGAAAATGGCCATTGCCATCAGTGTTCATTACATTCTTTTTTTTTTTTTGTTCATTACATTCTTATTGATTATAGGCCAAAGATTGAAACCACCTAATTGGACAGGAGCCCAACTTGGCAGCTATTATAAATCATGGTCATAAAGTCTACAGTCATATGGGGAAAAAATGCTTATCATGTAATATTACAAGCGTTGTGAAATAGGAAAAAAAAGGCATCCTTAAGGCATCACCAAGATAAGAACTACAGTGGTGAAATGGAACAATCTACCCTGTATTCTAACTTTTTGTATTCACATAATTTGTGTTTTTCAAAGTCTTCTGCAAGATAGGTGTCAGTCTTCCTCTTATCTCTCCCATGATCTGTCCCCCTCCCTTCCTAAACCTGTCCTTCCATGAGGCAGTATCACAATGCTGAGTCCTGAGAGTCAGTCAGGAGGCAAGCATTCTTCTTCCAGTTCACTTTGTGACCTTGATGAACACTTAGCTTCAGTGGGTGCTGTGTCCTCTCCTCAAGCGTGGGCATTGAAGCCTCATCTTTAATGATCCTTTCAGCTTACATTCTTGGATTTAAAATGGAAATATCACTGCCTAACAGATTTATTGTGAGCGGCAGCCAAACATATTGCAGCTGCTTTGTGTTACAGACTGAGTGTCTGTCATCCAAAATGTTTGGGACTGAAAGTGTTTTATAGTTTGAAATATTTGTTTACACAAATGAGATGTCTTAGGGATGGAACCCGAATCTAAACACAAAATTCATTTGTTTCATATGTACTTATACATAAAACCCGAAGATAACATTATGCAGGATTTTTAGTGCACTTGTGTTCTGACTGCCATCTGTCACATGAAGTTAAGTGTGGTATTTTCGGTATGTGGCATCAAGTTGGTGCTCAAAAAGGTTTAGATTTTGAAGCATTTGGAATTCCAGATTTTCAGATTAGAAATGTTCAACCTGAGGGAAAGTGGAAGAAAAAGATTTAAAATGTATCTGTACATGTACCAAATACCATAATGAATGTAAACATAGATTACAAATAAAAAATAATAGCACAATAATAATGAAAATGGGGAAAGGGGATTTACAGATGGAAGGGACAAGGCCAGTGAGGAGGGGAAGGGAATTAAAAAAGAAAGTGTATTGTGTACATGTACCTGCTCCCTAAGATAAATGTAAATGTCATGTACTGCCTACATGCACTAATAAACATTTAAAAAGAGTAAATAAAGGAAATGTTCAACGTGTGGCAGGGCTGGGAATGTAACTCAGTGGTGCAGTGCTTGCCTAGCATGCAAGAGGCCCTGGGTTTCATCCCCAGCATGGGATGGGAGGCTGGGAACTAGCCTTGTAGAAAATTGCTGTTGTAGGGGAAAGGCTTCTGCTCTTTGGGATGCTGCATATGGAGAATAGGTAAGAGGAGGGAAAATGTTCTCCAAGTATTTTGGAGTCTTCATCCTAAAGGGATCAACAATGAAGTGTACCTTTCAGAGTAATGAATGTCTTATGAGGTCTGGAAAGCCCTCTGGCCCTAGGAATGCTGGCGGGTGCAGCTCTGGATCCCTACAGGATCTCGTGGACACAGAGCTCTTGTCTTCACAGAGCATTCTGCTTCTGCCTCAGCAGGGCAGCTGTGTTATCATCCTTCTCATCTTAGTTTGATTGGTACTAAAACATTCTGTTTTATCATTTGGTCTGTTAGTGCAGTGGTTGGTATACTGGCAGACGTACATGAGGGTTCCAAGTCCTGAGGACCACATGAGGATAGGCCTCTCCCTATGTTGTAAGTGTCCTGACCCAAGCAGCTGGATACTCAGAGGGTGGTTCCTCCACTCTTTCAAGACCTGCCTTTGTAAAAGTGGAATGTGAGAGCTGGGCAGTCCTGTCAAGGCAGCTGCCAACCTGAAAGGAGGGAGTAGGGGAAGAAATGGTTAAATCCTGGGGCATCTGATAGCCTATGTCAGTGATGCTGAACCCTTTAGAGCTTTCAGTGATGACAAACAGCCTAAAGCTGTGGGACAGCTCGCCACTGCCCTGAGTCATTTTATCTGTAGGTTGGTGGAATTAAGGAAAGGCACCTGTCTGAAGATGTTGTTGTTGTTGACTTAACTTTATACAGATGGCTTATACTGAAGGACCATGCATGTAGTCACAAGGAGGCCCCCACCTGTTAATTATTCTTTAATTTGGGCACTCATTCCTTTTAGGAGTCCTTGTGTTACTAGTGTAATCATCCAACAATTTTTTGGGGGGCCGGGGAGATAGCTCAGAATAAGTGCTTACCTGGAAAGCACAAGGACCTGAATTCAATCCCTGGTTCCACCAAAAAAAAAAATTTATATATATATATATTTTTTTCTTCTTTCTTATGTTTTCTGCTAGCTCTTCAGTGATGTTCCTAAACTGAAGAATCAAACAAGCAAATTTTGCTAAACCAGTGTTGTACATTTTCTCAGAGGTTGCTACAGAAACAAAATCTTGAGCCCCATCCTATCAATGAAATGAAGAGCTTTAATAACAAGAGAAGAAAGGGCTACGGTGTTCCAGTCACAATAGGATTTTGTCTGATTCATGCCTTACTGGCAGCCTCAATGATGGCAGAGAGTCAGGTCTACTTAGCAGAAACCATTCAGCTTAAATGCCTTGTAACTGGAAGTGTGTTTTCGGCTTCTGAATGGTAAGATTAATTGCCTGCTCTGTGGGAGCGTTTTGAACAACTGCTGTGACCCCAGAAGCAGGAAGAGGGCCTTTCAGGTGCAGTCTTGATCTTTTGAGCTAAGAATATCTTCTGCAGCCTTAAGCTTTCAGCTAAATTTCATGTGGTTGTCCTATATGTTGATGTTCATGAAGACTCAATTTACGTGTAAATGCCTGGCAGATACCCTGTTGGTATCAGTCTGAGTCATAGCTCAGATTATCAGAGCCTGTTTTTGTCTTTCTGGATGTTATCAATAAGCTTAGTCATTTGAGTCCTGTGTTAGCATTCATGTGGCATTTTTTTGTTACGCATATATATTTATTTTCGTTTTCCTCCTTTAAAAAAAAAATGAAACTCTTTCTCTTTCCCTAGCAGATTCAAGCCCCTGTAAGACAACAGCCAAAGGTTCAGACAACCCCACCTCCTACCATCCAGGGGCAGAAAGTTGGATCTCTCACTCCTCCATCATCTCCCAAAACTCAGCGGGCTGGGCACAGGAGAATTCTCAGTGATGTGACACACAGCGCAGTCTTTGGGGTCCCTGCCAGCAAATCAACCCAGCTGCTCCAGGCAGCTGCAGCTGAGGCCAGTCTAAATAAGTCCAAGTATGTGGTGCTTCCCCTTTGTTCTTCTTACCTTGTGGGCATTATCTGCCCTGAGCTGTTACTGTGTAGTTCTTTGCATAAGAGTATATGTGTGTACATACATATGTAGTAGTGCATGTCTGTGTTTGTTGTTTTTGTTTTTTATCTTTTTGAGACAGGGTCTTGCTGTGCAGTTCAGGCTGGCCTTGAGCTCAATTTGTAGTTCAGGCTGGTCTCAAACTCGCAACAATCCTCCTGCTCAGCCTCCCGAGTACTGAGAATGCAGGCATGTACCACTAAGCCCAGCTGTATATCTGTGTTTGAAAGAAGCTATGCATTGTCTGCAGTGTGAAGCATGCATTTGCATGTATGCTGGACAGACCCTAAGAAATAACTTCCTAGTTGGCCCACTGTTTCTGTTGTCCAATCTGTTCCATGCTCTGCAGAGTATAGTATTTTCCAAATTCTCAATCTGTCCAAGCCTCTCCATGCTGAAAGTCTTTCATTTGCCCCTGTTGCTTATAGAATGATACCTGACCCCACTGATTACCTCAGCAAGGCCTCTTATTCACACGCATGGACTCACCGCTTTCCACCTTCACAAACCCTTGGCTTAACTTGTGCCCTCTCCTGGGACTGCTGTTCTCCTTGTCCCCCGAAGAAATGCTCATTTGTTCTTCAAGATCCACATCAGAAATAATCTTTTCTTTGACCTTTCATTTGATACATCATTTTATCTGATTTTTTTGGAGCAAGTATCACATTGCTTAATCATTAATTATTTGTATATCTGGCTGACATAGCCTGAGTTCTGTAAGATGAGGATTTTGTTTTAGTCATCCTTTTAAACACAGTGGTTGGCTTTGTGTCTGATACAAAGTAGATTTTGATAAGGGTTGATTAAGTGCAGTTTCACACCCTATATGCTAAAGTTGAAAAGTCATTAAGTAAAAAAAAAACAAAAAACAAAACTCTAGAAGAAAAATAATGCTATACAGAATGGTGGCAGCTGTCTTCATTTCTCCCTGTGCTGGTGGCTCTTGGTGCTGTGCATACTAGATCCTGAAGGATGAAAGGCTGCCTAAGCAGACCTTAGTCCCAGCCTTTCAGAAATCTGTTGTGGTAGGTGTTACCGTCACCACAGACCTAAAGCATGTTACTAAGGGTCCTAAGCCAAAGGGCCTTGCGGATGAGACTGGAAAAAGTAAGCCAGAGATTGAAGAAGTAGTGGAAGACATAGGAGTCATGAAAGAAAAGACTGTTTCACAGCATAGAAAAGGGAGTATGTGGAAACTTCAGTCATAGTGGAAAGACCTTTTGGGTAAGCACAGTGAAAAAATGATGTTTTGATGCAAATGAATTTGACCCTGGGACCAAGAGAAAGTAGTTTGGCCCTTTTTGTCTTGTCCAACTTTTATATGCGTTTTTATTTCATGGGGGTGGGAACCTACCTAGGTCTGCAACCACCACTCCATCAGGCTCTCCTCGGACCTCCCAACAAAACGTCTGTAATCCTTCAGAAGGTTCTACATGGAATCCCTTTGATGACGACAATTTCTCCAAGCTCACAGCTGAAGAACTGCTAAACAAGGACTTTGCCAAGCTAGGGGAAGGTGAGGAAGTCATTTTTTCCCCCTACTTTCCTATCTGCACATATTGCCTATACAGATTAATGCATTTCATTTTTATATGTACATAATATTTTATCATTTCTTCTCTCCCATCACCCTTCTTACCTCACCCTGCCCCCTAGTTTCACCTTTTGGAAGAAGTGGTTTCAAGTTGTATAGTATATTTTGAGCATATTCATCTGCTTTGTTAGGTGCCCCTGCACCCCTCTACATTCTCTTCCTCTTACCTAATAATACTCTTCCTTCTTTCCTGTCATCTTTTTTTAGATTCTGTGTACTAGGGAGAACATGCAGTATCTGTCTTTCTGGTCTGGTTTATTGATTCAACATGATGATCTCCAGATCCATCCCTTTTCCTCAGATGACAAAATTTTATTCTTTTTTTGTGGCTGAATAATACTCCATTGTGTATAGGTAAAATTTGTTCCTCTGTCCACCTACTTGTTCATAGGCGCTTGGGCTAGTTCCGTATCTTGTGTATTGCATATTGTGCCATAATAAACACATGTAGCCAGGTCTTAAGCCTTTGGGTACATAAAGGGGTGGTATAGCTGGATCAGATAGTAGCTCTCTTTTTAGGTTTTTGAGGAACCTCCACACTGATCACCATGATGACTGTACTGATTACTTTCCACCAGCAGTACTAGCAGGGTTACTTTTTCTTACACCCTTACCTACATCACCTGTATTCCTGATGCACCATTATAACTGGCATGAGGTAGAATCTAGTTTTAAGCAGCGTTTCCCACTCAAGTCTTTTTCTGTGATTCTTGGTTGTGAATTTTTTGTACTGAGGAATAGGCAGGGGTTAGAAAGAGGGGTGTGAACAGGATTGCTACCCCTGTTTTTTTCTGAGGTGCTGGGGCATGTAATATTGTTTTCCATCCTTTGACTTTCAGCCTATGAATTTCCTTATGAGTTAAGTATGTTTCTTGTATACAGCAGCTTGTTGGATTTTGTTTCCTAATCCATTGTGCCAGTCTGTTTCTTTTAATTGGTGAATGGAGTTCATTTATAGTGAGGTTAAACTCAACTACCTATGCTATAGGGTAATAATATCATTAAGCTTCTCTTCTGGAGGGTTAACAGCTTAAGCTTGCAGACCAAAAATTAAAGAAAAAGAAGGGCTACAAGGACAGCCGACATTTTGGGCATAGCCTTTCAAGGTCAGTAAGGACTCAGAAAATAGGAGAACCTGTACAGTAACATCCTGTAACTCAGTTGTATCCCAAATTTTCTGATCAAGATTTTGGGACCACAGAGGAAAGTGATCAATGATGTAGAGTATGCCTAAGAAGAGTCACATGGAGAGTCACATTCTCTCAAGCTTTCACAGAGAGCAAATTGGTCAAGCGGTGGACGTGACTTATCCACATGGCTGACACTGACAAAGGATCTACAAACTGAGGTACAGGGTTTCAGGTTAAATCCTGAGGTGATTTGACTGACCTTATGAGTTACAAAAGTTACATATCTTGTTTTATAGGTCTTGCTTTATCTTGGTCTTAACCATCCAGCAGAAAAGTATGAAAATGAAGTTTGAAAAGTAAAGCCATATTAATATGCTGAGCTTTAAAAGGCTCAAGTCAAAAACTTCGGACATTGACAGTCTTATGGAAAACCCACTACTCTTATGGACTATTGGACTATATTGGGATATTTTGCTGAATTCATGCACCTACAGTATTTAAATGACAATGGAATGCCCTTCTCTGACAAAACTAATCAAAAAGGGGATACAAATGAATGACCATTTTGTATCTGTATACTCAAAATAGTTAGGATAGATATACAGCTCCATTCTCTTAATTCAATGGAGAGGTTTGTTCTAATAGTGTTTGAGACAGGATATCAGGTCTTCATCTTGTACAATGAATAACTACTAAGAACAATATGCAATGTATTAATTATTGAAAATGTACTAGTAATCAGTTGTGAAACTGTCTCATTGCTATTTCTCAATAAAAATATTTTTAAAAAAAGAAAAGAAAGAAAGAGGGATGCACTTGTCACCTGTTGGCCTGGGCTTAACCCTCCAAGGTTTGGTTTCAAGGTGTGCATACAAGCCAGCTTTTATTCTTCTCAGAGTCTTTTCATCTTCAGGAAATGACCTGGTGTAAGAGGCAGCAAGGAGAGACACTTTTCCAAAAAAAGAATAATTATATTTATTTGGAGATAAAAATCGTATTACAGTGGAAATATATGTGCCATAAGAAATCATGAGCACGTCTAAGGAAGTTGAGGCAAGAGATGATTTTTTTGTTGTTGTTTTGTATTTTTAAGGGAAGGGTCTACAGGGTGTTTAAGGTCTCACTCCTAGATTAGACTCTTAATGATCTGCCTGTTTGTAGCCTCCCAAGAGCTGGGATTACAGATGTGCACCACCATGCCCAGTGTCAGTTGTCATATCAGCGTGCCCTAGGGAAGGGGCTGGCATGGTAGGCCCAGGAATTGAACTCCCGGACCCTACGCCTGCTTTCAGGCATTTTAATCCACTGAGCTATTTGGCCAGCCCTAAGTGAATATTATTAAATTTGAAATAAGAAATTACAGAAAATATTTTGAAACAGTAATCTTTTACTAGAAGTATTAATAACAAGGGTGACATCAGTCTGAACTTAAACAGGCAGATGCTGGACAGATGTCCTTGCAGGAATATTTTTTTGTGTGCAGTTGTGGTGACCTTGTGCAGTATTGTGGGTCTAGGAGTCTTTTGTTAACAGATATGTATATGTAATCTATGACTGAAACACTCTCCTGCAAAGCTTCCACTTTTTTTGTTGTTGTTAGAGTTGACACAAGTGACTCGATTTTACTTTATTTTATTTTTTATCGGCACATGTTTGCAGTACATAATGCTTAGATTCATTTTGGGGAGTTGGTGCATGTATGCAGCGCATCTTTCATCTCCTTCCCCCTTCCCCCCGCATCTCTTGTCCCCTTCCCTGTCTCCCCATAGAGAACATAAAACAGGGGTGCCTGGCCATAGCTCAGTTCTTTAAGTGGCTGCTTCCACAAAGCTGTGAGCCTCAGGTTGCTGTAGTTCGACTCCCACAACACTCCAGCCAGACAAACCATGCCTGAGGGCATTCAGAGCAAAAAAAAAAAAAAAAAGAACATAAAACAGGATAATGACATCAAGCTGGGTTGCTCTTTGGAGAGCTATGATGACCTCCTCTTCCTCACAATTGGGTTTCTTGTCCCAGAACATAGTGACTGTTTGTCCATAAGTGTGTGCCTTCACATGGATTCTGTATCTCTATGAACATAGTTCTGTGTTATTGTTGATTGACACAAGAGAGAGGTTTTGTAAACAGATAAAATTCTGGCTGGATGTGCTAGTGCATGGCTATTATCCCAAATTCTTGGGAGAGTGATGCAAAAGGGAAACTTGACAAGACCCTGTCTCAAAAGAAAATACTAAAAGTGGCTGGAGTGTGGCTCAGTGGTAGATTTCTTGCCTAGCATGAACAAGGCCCTGGTTTTAATGCCTAGTACTGCCAACTTATAGAGATACACTTTTCCCTTCAAAATTCACAATCTAATATGGAAGGCAAGACACACACACACACACACAACATACACTTCAGAGCAATAGATACATCTGGGAAAAATTCTCCAATATATAATTGGAAAGGAGTGTCCTCCATTTATTTAAGAAAATAAAATAAAGAAATGGTCAGAACCAGCTGAGTGATTTGAACTATTGATCTATCACAGTGGCTTTGGCTGTTATTTTATAGCAATGTTTTAAAAACCCATGAGGACATAGGGCTTGACTTTTTTTGGTAACTGACTTTTGCTGTTGTTTGTACCAGTTCTTGTTCTGGACCATAAACAGAAATACCTTCACGGATACTGGAAACTAGTGTTTTGTACCTATCTAGCCCTCCAGTTTTCTCTTGCTTTTAATAATTTCCTGCCTCTTCTTGCTGTCCATCTCTTTGGGCTTTCACATCACACTGCTGCCATGTAGCCTCCTTCTTGGTGTCGCACCACTGCCATTTCCACTGCTCCCTCTCCCCACTTCCCAACTACTTCCAACATGGAACACAGATCATCGCCACATTAGAGTTACATAAAGTAAGATTCCCGCTGAGGGCTGAAGACATTCTGACCTGAGGAGTACGCTTGAACTGTAAGGTTCTATGGTCTCTCATTTCTTTTTGTTTTCACTTCCTTACCTTAAAAATCTTAGTTATATATACATAACATAGCAGTTACCATTTTAACCATTTTTAAGCATCTAGTTCAGTAGTGCAGAGTTCACTGTTGCATGACCCTCTCCAGAGCTCTTCTCATCTTGTAAAAGTGACAGAAGTCTCTTGATCCTGAAGAGTTTTCTTCCTTTTCTTAGTTATTTCGGTGACTAAACAAGGACCCTCAAGTAGCTGAGGTGTTGCAGTAAGAGTCTAGTCTAGAAGGCAGGCCAAGGTTGCCCTGCCCCCTGTCGTGTGTGAGCCTCTCAGGATTCTAGTAGAATGAACCGCGTAGCATTGCTTTGTCCTTTCAGGCAAACATCCTGACAAGCTTGGCGGCTCAGCAGAGAGTTTGATCCCAGGCTTCCTGTCGACCCAGAGTGATACTTTTGCCACTTCTTCATTTTCTGCTGGAACTGGTGAGTATGGAGCATACGTGAGACACTAGAGACTCACTCTTCTCACTGCACATCTTTATTGTCCACAGGTAGCACTGGCTCTCCAGGGAACACTCATCCTGGGCTCTAACTCCTCCTTTTCCTCTTTCAGCAGTTGTCAATCAAAAAGGAATAGAGGAAGAGCCAGGATCACTTTCAGTGAAAGTGGTGGGAATGATCTGGCAGTAATGTGCAGGGCTTCTTCTCACTAGTCCAGGGCATGGCATAAGGACTATTGCTAAATTTGAGGCACAACACTCTGGTGATCGCTTGTCAATGCACAGGTTCTTTAAGATAACTTCTGGAATTCTAAGAATTAGATTTTCTGTCTGATAGCAGAGACCCTAAACTATGTTTATGTGTATGTTTGCTTTGGGGATGAGGAAGGTATTTTTAATGGGTTGGGTTTTTTAATTATAGAAGCAATAAATAAGACTATTTCCCCTTTATTAATTATATACTTTGTTACAAATTCTACATGTGTATCATATAAAAGTATATTATAGGGAAGAAAGTTAAAATCTCCCATTGGCTCACCACCAAGAGATAGCACAGGGTTACCATCTTGATGTCTGTGAGGCATTAACATGCTCATGACAGGGCCATAATCTGTGTACCTTGCTGCTGGGAAGCTCTGATTTGAACTCCGTTGTCTGATGCTACATAGCCCACTGGGATGCTCATGCCTTCATGCATGTGCACTGTTGGTTCGAGGCAGTGGGAACATACTAACGTTTTTTAGGATCGCAGGTACCTTTATGAATCTGATGAAAGTTATATCTCAGCAAAATGCGTATGCGTATGTACAATTTTAAGCCTTACCTAAGACTCTGAGATACATATATATTTTTCATATTTTATTTTATTTCTGTACCAGGGAGTATATTCATATTTTAAAATTTAGTTTTTTCACTTAATAAATCTGTCACATTTCCCCTAATCATTAAAAAAGCTCTGAAATGTTACTTTTCAACTATCTGCATTACAACTGGACATGATGGCCATGCCTATAGTCCTAGCATTCAGGAGGCTGAGGCAGGAGAATTACTGTGAGTTCAAGGCCACCCTGGGCTACCTAGTGAATTCAGTCAACACAAGCCTGAACTACCAAACACTAAACATTTTTTTAAAATAAAATATCTGCATTAAGCTTTTTTATGTAATAGCTATTAAAATACTTAAATGATTTTAAATCACTCATTACTTAAAATGTTATCCTTTAGTGTTTTCAACAGATGACCATTTTTCTTACTAATTTTTAGGAGCTTTACTTATGTATTGGAAACATCTTCCTCAGTCTGCCATTTGTATTGAGCATGAGCTCTTCTTATCCTGACAGCCCTTGAAATTAGTTTATGATTCCCCACATTATTACTGTGGGCACAGAGGCACAGAGCCTCTTTCCCAGGGTTACCTGTGGGCCCTGCCCATTAGCACAGTTGTTTAAGTGCCTGCCTAAGAAAAGCAGTCAATCTCAGGATGCTATGGTTCGATCCCCAGATCCTCATGCCTAACCAGACTTGCCCTTAAGGCATCCTGAGCTTGCTAAAGGAAAAAAAAAAAATCCAGGGTTACCTGCTAGTGCAGGGGAGAGATGAATTTCTCAGGTTTTCATAAGGCAAATTTAGTAAATTTTTTTCTAGAAAATTGTCTATAGTTTTATGGTTTTAAAATTTATCGGGGTTTGCAACTTGCTCAGTCACACAGGGACAGATCAGGCCCGAAAAGAGAATGGCAGCTGTGGGCAGCCTACGTAGCTTGCTACCGCAGAGCATTGTGAAGGCAGCTGCATCCAGACCCCGATGCCTGTATACTTCCAAAAGCTGGGCAGACAGCAGCAGGGCTGCACTCACTCGCCTGCACCGCCAGGCCTATACATGCCTCTACCCAGTGCTTCTTGTCAAGCAGGACGGCTCCACCATTCACATCCGCTACCGGGAGCCAAGGCGCATATTGGCAATGCCCCTGGACCTGGACACCCTGTCCCCTGAGGAGCGCCGGGCCAGGCTCCGGAAACGAGAGGCCCAGCTCCAACACAAGAAAGAGGAGGAGCCAGAGCTCACTGATGACTTTGATGCCGAGCGATACAGACAGTTTTGGGCCAGGACCAAGAAGTAACTGTGGCTTGAAGTTGCTTTAGGGACGTTGTGTAGACAGAGGGAGATCTCCTGTAAATGATATATTCCTGCCGTCACCAAAAAAAAAAAATTATCTTTATTTATTTATTTTTGTATTTTAGGGAAGGGTCTACAGGGTGTTCAGGGTCTCACTACTAGATCGGACTCGTAGTGATCCGCCTGTTTACAGCCTCCCAAGTGCTGGGGTTACAGGCACACGCCACCACACCCAGTCTCAATTGCTGTCTCAGTTTGCCCCAGGGGTGGGGCCCAGCATAGCAGGCCCAGGGATCAAACCCCAGGCCCTACACCTGCTTGCAGGTGCTTTATTCTGCTGAGCTATTTGGCCGGCCCCTTTAAATTTAAAAAGAACATTGTATGTTAAACTTTTATAGTATTTTCTTTGTATATCAATTTTGATCATATGGATTGCATGTTTCTTGGTACCTAGCTAAAGATTTACTACTTTGTAAGTCTTAGATTTATAAAAATAAATCTTAGATTTATAAAATCTACAGATTGGTGGTTGCAGAGGTTTTCATTGGTCACATGCCCTTGGGCATGTGGTGCAAAGGTAGCAAACATGTGGCAGGACAAAACTGCTCACTTGGCCAGGGCACAGAAGAGAGAGGAAGAGGAAGAGACCAGGGCCCCACTGTCCTCACTGAGGGCACAGCCCGGATGCCAGAGTCTCTCTCACTAAGGCCACCTCTCAAAGGTCCTGATACTTCCCAATGGTGCCGGAGCTCCTAATATATGGGCATTGGTGGACGTCTGAGATCCAGACTGCAGCAGTGACATGTAAAAGCCGAGCAGTCTGGGTAGCAGTGTGAGCGTTGGTGATACTGCACTGCTGTAGTATGAGGTGTCTTTTAGGGGGGCAGCTTTATTGGGGTTCACTCTTTAGATGCTGTAATTCTCTAATTTGTTCAAATAAAGCATTCTAAAACAACTGTAAAAGGGATTGGGGCTGGGGAGATGGCTCAGTGGAATAAGCATTTCCCTGGCAAGCACAAGGGCCTGAGTTCAATCCCCGGTTTCGCCAAAAAAAAAAAAAAAAAAAAGGGATTTATAGTCTCAACTATAAATTGAGATTTAATGAGCACACTGAATGCTGAAGTGCAATATAAAGGATGATAAGATGGAAGTAAAGAGTTCTGGGTTCTGATCCTAGCTCTGCTGGTGGACCACTGGCTAATCTCTTAATTTGAGGGCCTTGTTTTCTTTTCTAGAAGATAAGAAAATTGTATACAAGATTCTAAGACCTCTTCAAGCTCTTATATTCCTTAGGGAGTGCATATTCCTGTAAATCTGTAGTTTACTAAATGAAAAATAGATTTAGTCCAGAGTTTAAGGCTTATCTAACTCCACAATAGACAAGAAGTCTATTTCTGCCTCTTCCCATGTGTTTGTTTGTCTAATACTATGATAGACATTATGGTAATACAATAAGATGTAGTCCCTAATGCACCCTGAGGGGTTAATGGGTACATAGAAGTGGTTATACACATGTGCTGGTGTTTACATGCCAAAATGTGTAATATGGATGGTAATTCCTGGAGGAATTCTGAAAGAAATGCCTGTGTTCTGCAGTGTCTAAGGAAGAAATAGGTCACACATACGAATATCCTGGTTTGATCATTCATTGCATCTCATCGTATGTTACAAGGACCACATTGTACAGCTCAGATATTCTGCTCTTTCACTGAGTTGTTTCCACTTTCTCCCTTTATCTATCTCTAAGTTTGGATTCACTCTATCATTTAAGCTGTTGGGTTAATAGATGGGAAATTCCTCTGGATTTACTTGATGACCTTTGACTTTCTCATTTTTCTCTCCTGGCCCTCTTTTCCCTCGAACCAACTCCAGCTGAAAAAAGGAAGGGTGGGCAGACTGTGGATTCTGGCATCCCACTTCTAAGTGTGTCTGATCCTTTCATTCCTCTTCAGGTACCTGATGCACCAGGTAGGTAAATAGAACTGATAGAAGGTCAAGCAACTTGATTTTTATGTCCCATACCTCCTGGCTGCTGGGATTGCAGATGTATGTTACCATACCTGGCTTACATATTTTTATATTGTATGTCTAAAAAGCACAAACTTACCTGCAAAGTACCATCTACCTCTTAGCAAAGAAAATAAAGTCAGTTAAGGTTATGTACTGTGTCATAGCAGTGTTGTTTTCATTCTTAGTCGTATTTATGGCAATGAGGACCTGTATATCAGAAAGAACATGAATACAATGTGATTATGATGTAGTATGGAACCTATAAAGATATAATAAAAGTAACAATATACGTAGTGGAGATAGTGTTATAATGGGATTGTGGGTAACTTCTGTGCAGTTCCTATTTTTATAAGGTGTTTTTACATAATAAAAATACACTAGTAATGTTCTGCCACTTCTGAAAACCTTCTGAGCCAGATCCTTTATCAGTGAAGTAAGTTGGACTATAGGAGTTCACATATTCCTCTCTATTTGCCATATTCTCTAATTTTTAAGGAGATAGTTTGAAAGGTTAAGAAATGGCTATCCTGTTCTGATAGAAGCAGCTTTTGAAATAATTGTGTGTTTCTGTTTGGAATTCATGACAGCCAAATATTCCCTTTCTGCTCCCCTTGTCTTCCTCCCTATACTGTACTATTTGGGGGTAGCGTAGTGGTGAGGAATTAAAATCTCTCTCTCTTTCTTTCTTTCTTTCTTTCTTTCTTTCTTTCTTTCTTTTTTTTTTTTTTTGCCAAACTAGGGATTGAACTCAGGCTATTGTGCTTGCCAGGGAAGCACTTATTCTACTGAGCCATCTCCCCAGCCTCAAGTCTCCATTTCTGATAAAACAAATTAATCCAACTCCATAAAAGCAGCAGTGGGTCATTTCGCTTCATTTTTCCTTTTTTCTCATCCTTTCTCATTCTTACCATTTTGAAATCTTGCCCTTGAATGGATAGGTGTTTCTTCTCTTCCAAAATGCTAATGGCATTTGATTGTTCGCTTCGTGATTGGAAGTGATTGGTTGATGTTTGTATCTTTCATTTACTAAGACAAGCTACAGCTTTTGTATCTTTAGGGAGTTTGTTTACTCTTCTAAGGGAAAGTTAACAGTTACCTTGATCAGATTGTAGCATGTAACTTCATTCCTTCCTAGACCTGGGTGTAGCTCAGAAAGTATCTGAAATCACCAAGGAATGATTCAGTAGAGGCTAGCTAAAGAGAAGAAAGAAATCAAGCAGAGACCTTTTCTCTGTTATAACCTTAGATGTGCCTGGCTGTACCTAAAATGGCAGTTGCGAGCAGGTTGGAAAGGTGTGCAGTCTGAAGTTGTGCCGGACCACTGGCCTCTTTTCCTCCCTGCTGTAGAATCGGACAAGGCAAAGGGGCTGTGGAGCATTGTCTCTTTGACACCACCTTGCTTTGATGTGGCCAAGATAACCTTCAGGCTTCAGAGAGGCTGTGGGCCAGGTGCAGGTGTCACAGGAGACCTTTAGATCAGCCCCTTTGGGGCTAGGGACACATGTGTCATAGCTTTTGAGATTGCTCCAGGTTGTAGAGACAAATCTGAGGCATCTGAACCAGCTAGCTGCCATCCTGCCCTCTTGCTTTCATCTTTCCTGTCTGCTGGTCTGCCTTCTCTCATTCTAGAGAATTCCTACAGAGTGGTATTGGTGTGCCCTTAATACCAAAGGGACAGTGAGATAGTTCAATGGACTAAGTGCCTGCTTAGGCAAGCGCAGGGACTGGGGTTTGATTCCTGGCTGCCACTGGGCGCGCTGAGCTGTACACTGAGTCCCAGCATCGTGGTGTGCATCTGTAACCTTGGTGCTGGGGAGGCTGAAAACAGGAGGATCACAAGTCTGAGCTGCATAGTGAGACCCTATGCCAAATACATTAAAAAAAAAAAAAAAAAAAGACAATCACTCTTGGATTTTGATGGAAAAGTCTATTAAAATGGGATATTTTAACAGAGAATTCTATGAATTCTTTGTAATGTCAGACTAGACCCGTCTGCTGAAAACATAAACCAGACATATAACTCCTTTGTATTCCAGTGAATTCCCATATCACAGAACATAACACCTCCTCCTCCTCTTCCTTCCTCCTCCTCTTCCTCGTCCTCTTCCTCCTCTTCTTCTTTGTCTTCATCTTTGTATTCATCTTTGTCTTTTTTGAGACAGGGTCTCATTGTGTGTTCAGGCTGGCCTTGAGCTCCCTTTGTAGCCTAGGCTGTTCTCGAACTCAAAACAATCATCCTTCTCAGCCTCCCAAATACTGGGATTACAGGTGTGTGCCACCACGCCTGGCTTAGAGCCTACACTTCTTGCTGTGCTGTACAAGGCCTGAACTATTGTGGCCCTTGGCTGTCCCTCCAACGTCATCCCATGGCACTCTTCCTCTGAGTCTTGTCTTTTCTCCAGCAGGTTAGGCTCATTCCTACCTGAGAGCTTTTACACTTGTTGGTATTCTGCCTGACAGGACTCTCCTTCAGCTCTATACCTTTGTCATTTGACATTTGAGTCTCAGCTTAATTAAATACTGTCTTTCCAGAAGAGAGGCCTAAGGTGGACCCACAGGACCCACTCTCAGTGGTGCCTTCTGTGTTTTGTCTTCACAGCATTCATCAAGCCATAGTGTGGTTTTATGTGTTTACTGTCTTTGCTCAGTCAGTGACCCCCAGGGAGGGGTCTTGTCTATTTCACTCACCACTGCATTGCCACTATCAATCTAGCTGGACACAGTTGGCACTCTGAATATGTGCAGATCGGATGGATGAATGGAGTAAAACCTGAGGTGAGAGCCTTTTGATGGCCCCAGTCACTTTAATTTCTGTCCCCATCTCCCGGACTTCAGACTGGCACCATAGTATTCTAACTGCCTGTGCCAACCTCTGGTCAGACCACTCACCTACTCTCCAGGTGAATCAAGGAAGCCACAGCCTTCATTGTCACTTAGCTGCCATACCCTGGGCTGATAGAAAAAGTAGCTAGGCTCAGCAGACCCTGCAGCTCTGTCCTTTCATGGTGCCCTACACCCAGCTGAGGGTGGCATAGTGCTGCTGTGTCTTTGATGCTTTTATTTACTTCAATGTTCAGCCTCTGGTATGTTTGGTTTCCCTTTATTAAGGTCTCTACATGCAGCTGGGCACGATGGCTCACACCTGTAAACCCAGTACTCTAGGAAGCTAAGGCAGGAGGATCAGCAAGTTCAAGCCCAGCCTGGGCAACTTAGTGATTTAGCAGGACCCTGTCTCAAAATGAGAAATAGAGAAATGTAGCTCAGTGCCAAGGCCCCTCAAGCCTCAGTACCATCCCCCAACAGAAGAAAATTCCTGCTCCCCTCTTAGCATCTTGAAATGGGAAGTAAGGAAAGGGCTTATGGTTCAGTGTCTGTAGGGTCCAGTGTCTGTTTTCCTATCCTTTTTTTTTTTTTTAATTTTTATTTATTTATTTTTATTTATTACATTTATTTATTGTGTGTGTGTGTGGCCAGCTCAGCCTACCAGGGGACGGGTCTGGCTGGCATGTGGTGCTGGGGATCGAACCGCGGTCCCTGTGCTTTGCCAAGCTTGTTTCAAGTAGGTGCTTTAGACCACTGAGCCATCTCTCCAGCCCCTGTTTTCCCATCCTTTTGCCTTTGCTTCTGCAGCTTTTGCTTTTCTAGCCCACCTTGAATGCCAGCCAGGTTTCCTGGTTTATTTTGTGTACATGCTCATCTTGCACACTCAACCATCACAATGATAAGAATCGTGGAGTCTTAGCGTCCAAGAGCAACAGTCAAGCGACTGTTTGCATCTTTGTGTAACTTCCTTTGATCTTACAGCTCCTCCTGAGTGATAGATGGTGGATGGACCAAATAACAGATAGTATCTTTACTTTCTGGTGAGGAGGTGAGGCCTCAGTGCTCTTCTTCTGCCCTGCTCTGCATCACCTTTCCATTGCCCTCAGCCCCTCAGCCCCTCAGCCCCTTGGTCACAGGTTATTTTCCCCTGGGGTACATCCCAGATCATCAGAGCCTTTGATCAGAGAGCTCAGCTTAGGGTTTAGGGAAATGATGTATAAATATGGATTTGAACTTAAAAGGCATGGGCCTTAATAAGTAGGATAGCTACATGGTTTTGGTCAAATCATTTAAATTCTTATGCCCTTATCCTAAAATTGGTAATATTAAAAACTAATCATGTGGAGTAGGCATGAGGTTCAGATAAAATAATGTATTTGAAATTTCTTTGTAAACTTTAAATTACTATAAAGATGGGAAATGGGGAATGCTGTTACACCTTTAATTTTGGGTCCTTATGTTCAATGGGGCAGTCCTACTTATTTTTCTTTTCTTTTTCTTTTTTCTTTCTTTTTTTTTTTTTTTTTTTTTTGCTACTAAGGATTGAACTCAGGACCTTGCACTTGCCAGGCAAGCACTTATTGTACTGAGCTATCTCCCCAGCCCAAACAGTATCTTTTTTTTTTTTTTTTGCACTGTACTGGGGATCGAACTCAGGACCTTGTACTTGCCAGACAGGTGCTTATACTGCTGAGCTATATCTTTAGCCCTTCTGCTAATTTTTCTTGTTAAGTTTACTTTCCTAATGTTTAGCTTTTACACAGCTAAGAACCTTTAAAATAGATTTATTGCATACAGGGACTGTCAAACCTCTGGGTAAAAAGGCATTAGATAATTGTGATTTGTTTCTTTTAATGACCATTTTTATTTTCTAAATAACAGTTGGGAGGGAGTCTACAATATTAAAATCACAACAGTGACCATTTGTATGTTTCCATCACTATCAAATGGAACATGATGGTGAATCTCAGACTATGCTGACTGTTCCTGGATTTTGCCTTCTACGTGCACTAGAGCCAGAGAAGCTATCGGTGGCCCAAAGTTTTAATGTATGATAGAAAAGTGAATATTTTTCTCTGAAAACTTGGTAAAAAGTATTGTTTAATCAATTATTTTAAAATTACTGTTTTAAAATA